CGTACGGTCCATTTCGCTCTGCTCCGCGTCCCCCTTTATTTTTTGCTAACAGAAGTGTGGTACCCAGTTGAGGGCTATTTCCCCACTGTAATTTTCCTTTTAATTAATCAATTTATTTTTTTAAAAATCTGTTGAATAACCAATGACTTTTAATAACCAATGACATTAAAAAAATGGAAGATACTGCCTTAAAAACTTTTGTAGATTATGAAAACCAACTTGGCAGTTAATATCAAGGGTCATATCCTGGAAACCAGTAATTATAATAAGAGATCATATTCAATGAACCAGTAATCATAAAAAACAATTATCCCAGAAAAGAGCCTGAAATTTGAAACCATTCAGTAAAAAAAAATTATGTCAACCTTATATATGAGTTGAAAACAATTGTAAGCAATGTAAGAACCTGAGTGGAATATTATATTATAGAGAAATTGATGATTTTCTTGGTAAAATTTAATAACATTGGGAAATTCTGAAGACAGAGGGGAAGAACCATGATGCTAATGTCCTGATTTCCATTCCTTTTGTAAAAAACTTATCGTTATATCACAGAAATGCCCCAGGTTACTCAAACATAGTTTCCCTTGTTAAGTCACGTGCACACATCCTTCCACTGGGCCACATCATCGTCGTAATCCTCACATTTTACCCCCAAACTGGTACCATGGCACCATCATCACCAGGAACCTTTACATTTTGTCACTATAGTGACCAAGTGCACAGGTGAAAACAGCAGGAGTTAGGGGTGCAGGTTGCAGACATAACATTTTGAATCTTGCGTTTATTTTCCTTGAGTAAAACACTACAATTTGTGCATGACATACACTAGTGATTCCTGGCCCCGTTGGCATGTTTTTGCCTAAGTGGGGGGAAAACTTAGAAGTGGGTACCTTGCCTCTAGCCAAGGATGAGCACATTGGGTGTCACGATGAAAAACCGAGGTGCTTAAGAAGCCTTCTCTTACCTTGGGAGACACGGTGCCCAGGACTGAAGGGCGCGGGCTGTTTTCTTACCTCTGGATGGCGAGCCCGTCTGTGGGGGCGGCTCGCTGCTTTCCCAGCTGCGATGACATTTCCAGGAATTCACTTTCCTCTCTGCCAACAGGCTTCTCTCCTTCATTCGCCTGCTGCTCTGAAAGGAGAGATTCCAGAAAAGAACTGATATTTACTGCACCTCTCCAACAGTCAGGCACTGTGCTAAGCACCTTTATGAATATAATCAAATTTAACCCTAAAATTCCTACTTTCTCAGGTGAGAATATAGCAACTCGAGGCATTTACTTAATGTGTCTAAAGTAAGGCAGTTAATGTGGAGATGATTCAGGCCTCAAACCCAGGCCTGCCTGACCCTAAATACTAAGAGATTTGCCCTTTGGAAGCTTTATAAAGAGAAGGATCTAAGACATCTCTTGATGCAAATGTAAAACTCGACACATTTTTCTTTCTCTGCCTGATCTTATTAACCATGGAGCCAGTTTGCATGTCCCTAAAAATGTGTCACCAGGAAACCTCCCTTTTCCCTTCGGCCATCCATAAACCTTAAGAATGTGTATGTCCCAAGTGAAGGGACTCTCTTCAATAAGGAGAGACAATGGCTGGATGATTAAAATAATTTAGATGAAAGGGACTCGGTCATCAAACTTAAAATGCAAAACTGACTTCCCGAATAGAGGTCTTGTTATTATTGGTAGTTTGTTTCTTTCTCCATTTGGTTTTCATGACGTGCCTGCCCATAGTGACCGTTTTGGCGCGTGAAAGGTCAGCAGCCAGAGTGGACCACCAGAAAGACTCTCACAGGCCACAGCCCTGAATCCTCTTCAGGGTCCCTCCTGGAAGAAAACCCTCCTCCCCTGGGTGCTGGGGCCACATGGCTCTAGAGGGAACGTATTGTATCCACTGAAACAGCCGAGGCACCTCGCGCTGAGCCCGGCTGGTTCCACACGTTTCCCGTTCCACGTGCACCCTTCACCGATTCCCCAGCCCGGGAGGGTCTCCATGCTGGTATTAATTTTTCCGGTAGGATTCCGGAGCCCTCTGCAAGCACAGCACGGAGAACAGCCACTGGCTTTTGTTACATTATTTGGTTCCAACGACAATCCCATGGGGAGGCGTGCTTGATCTCAACCAGGGTCCTCGTTTTTAAAAACGAACAAGGGAGGCTCTGGAGGGGACCAGTGACTCATTCCAAAGCAGGTAATTAGTGTCCGCTCGAGAAGAGACCCTCCATCCATTTATTCCCCACCTCTTGAGCTTCTCTTAAAATCCACAGGTGAGGCATCTCTGACTAGAAGAGATTAAAAGAGTTTTCGAGAAGCTACTGCTGTCTCCCTCAGAGATGACAAATGCTCCAGTCAGCTGGGCACGTTAATGAGCCTCCGTGTAAGAGTCGCAGCGTTGCTGAGAGGACTCGGCTGCTCGGGGTAGGGAACGTGGCGAATCCCCCAGGCTGGTGTCGCGCTCGGATCCGAGTTTTCCTTCAGCGCCTGACTGTCGTTTACTGTCACATGGCAGCCAGCCCGCTGTGATGGGGAGGCGCCGTCTCGCGTGCACGGCGCGCTGAAGGACAGAGTTTAAGTCACGGCTTCTCCATTCTGCTCACACTTCCGCCAAACCAGCCCCGGGGCGGGGGGGCCCGCAGATAAACTGGGGATGTCATCTGAATCAGGGACGGATATTTAACCAAGCAGTTCTACTAATTTGCTTTCCTTCTTAAAATCTTCCTTTTCATTTTTATTCATGATGTTGTTCGTGGCATTTCAGATCATTAAAACGGGGGTTGATATCGTAACTTCTAATTTGTGGAAGTCGTACAGAACTCCAAAGAATTTATGAGAATGAAAAAAATAACGTATTTTGAAATAATTTATTATAGATAAGTAGATTATTTTCCAATTGTTAAGCATAGAATACTGGTGTAGCCTAGAACACATAAAAAATAGGGAACTGAATTAACAGTTACCATTTTACCTGGCCCATTTATTTTTATTTTTTCACAAATTCCCAGAGTGTATATGGTTTTTCTCTGGTGATAAGAACCATAGATGTCAATCACACAAAATTCAGAAAATACAGAAACGAGGGCTGGTCCTTCCATCTTGTTCTGATTGAGACGTTGCAGCGAAGTCAGAGACTCTGCCATTATAAGGTTCACAAAAGGCAGCATGTACCGCATTTTTCGGACCATAAGACACACCTAGGTTTTAGAGGAGGAAAATAGGAAAAAAAGTTTTGAAGCAAAAAATGTGGTAAAATACTTAATAACATAAATGACATAATATTTCACCAATGTAAATGTAAACAGAACTCAACAGTAGCGTTAACAACCATTATTCCTCCCAAATTTGGGAGGTGGGGGAGAAAGGTGCGTCTTATAGTCCGAAAAATGCTGTATATACCTTACCCTCTGCGCTACTCGACGTATCTGCTCATGCCTAAAGGAGACCGAATCTGACGTTCATATATGTATTTTCTCTCACAGAGAACATATTACATTGCCTTTCATCTAAAATATGTCAATTATAATTTTTGAGAGATTCTAAGATACTTCTCCCTATTCACAGCAAGATCCTAAGAGCTTCCTAGCTCGTGGGCCATTGTGCTGGCGATAACACCCACAGTGCTATAAACGCCTGACCCCTCACTCACAGTGGAGGCAGGCCACAGCGAGGATCTGGGGTGGGGGGGGTTGGAATTTGATGGAGCACATTCAAAACGTCAACTGTTTTACAACACCAATGTTTTCCATTGTCCTTCGGCGCATATGGCCTGAGAAAAATATATTTGGTGTGTAGAGATATGCAGAAATGGTGATGAGGAAACATTTGGGGGCATAGGTTACAGAAGACTGAGACATGCATAGAGCCAACATCTGGAATTCTGGTTAAGCCTTTCCCGGAACACAGTGACCAGATGTGCTCGGCAACTGCTGATGGCGCGTCTGCTGTGTGTCCAGCGCTGGAGAGCCTGAGATGAGTCAGAGAAAATCCCCTTACTCTCCCGGGAGTTCACAGTCTAGGAGATGTCAAATAATGACAGAAGAGCGGGCTGCCAATTTCTGCAGGAGTATGCGGTGTCGTGTGGGTCGCAGAGGAGGTGATGGGAGAGGTCTAGAGGCGCCTCCCCGAAGAGATGGCTTTTGGATTCAATTTTGCGGCTTGAGGAGTTCACCTGCCGCGCAGGAGAAGGGCTTCGGTGGCACTGGAGGAGTGAGTAAAGAGGCAGGGCCTAGGAAGGGGCGCCGTGCTCGGGGACAGGGGTGCCTCTGCGCACCAGGCTGGTCTGGGGCGTGTGGGCAGGGGCTGGGGCTGGGCCGCAGAGCAGACTCGGAGTCGTTTTAAGCAGGAGGTTGTGGTGTGTTCAACTGGGTGCCTGATGGTGCTTGAATTTCAGAGAAACTAGCAATCTGCTGCTGGGTTTCATAAGACATTTCCTCTTAAAGTAGATATTTTCCTTTAGGACTCGTGATTGGATTCATAGTTTGGGCAAGGTTGGAAAGTGGACAGGAAATCTCTGAAAAAAAAAAAACACAAACAAAACCTGGCCCAAGGCTTGTCTTGAAGTAGGGAACGTGCAAAGGAGGACAAGAGGGGTTTGTTGTTCTTTTCCACAAGCTCCTATGTGTTTATTCACATCCGGCACCAACACGGAGCATGTGATCAAAGCCCAGGCTTGCTGGTATTTGACAAAATGGACAACACCCAAATGGAAAACAGTGGGGTTATCTTGCCAGTGAAGGCGTTGTGTGTCCACCAGATAAAAAAACAGCCAGTCTCTGAGTTTTGTTCCAAAATGCAGAGAGGTGATTCTGTGACCCTGTGACACCCACTGACTGCAGTTTCTAAGGACACCTGACTAAAGACCAGGTGGGGAAGACCCTGTTTGCTAACCTGGCAGGGACCAGGGCCCCCTCAGATCCGCCAGGCCGAACGCAAACATGTCCAGGCGGCGATTCGAACGGTCCCACTCTGAGAGCACTCCCTGCCTCCCCTCTCCCTGCAGATAACACCGCAGGGGTGTACGCCCGGCGCGGGGGGTTCAGCCGGCAGAAGCAGGATTTGTACCTCCTGCCCATCGTGATCAGCGACGGTGGCATCCCGCCCATGAGCAGCACCAACACCCTCACCATCAAGGTGTGTGGGTGCGACGTGAATGGGGGGCTGCTGTCCTGCAACGCCGAGGCCTACATCCTGAACGCCGGCCTGAGCACGGGGGCGCTGATTGCCATCCTGGCCTGCATCGTCATCCTCCTGGGTAAGGGACCCTCCCCGGGCACCTGCAGGACGCGCCCTTGTAGATGCCCATTTTAGAGACACGGGTATTTCTCACGGGCGGGCTAGTTACCATAACTAGGCTGTATGTACTGCGGGTAAAATGTGAGAGACAGAGACACTTCCTGCTCTCATGCATTTTATGGAATGGGGGTGGTTCCGGGGGCAGGCAACTTACAGAGCAGTTAGAGCAGAGCTGGGGAAAGGGTTGATGAGCAGGAAAGTGAGAGGCGCTGGTCCAGGCAAGCATGTTGTGGAGAGTGAGGCGCAGAGGCAGGGCCCTGCTTGGTGAGCTGTGGGGGCCAGCTCCAGTCGGGGCAGGGGCCAGCACTCGCCCCTGCATCTCAGTGATGGTGGCCCAGAGGGGCTCTCAGACCACTTGCCAAGTTCAGCCGCCAAAGTTTTGTCCAGTGTTGCCGCGCATGTGGGGAGTGAGTGCTCTAACAGAACACCGCAGAAGCCCCTTGTGAGGAGGCGAGAGATAAAGAAGAAAGCCTTGTCTGAAATGTCCTTATAAGTAGCTCTGCTCACTCATCCCATATTGCCTGAGCTTAGTGTGGGATCCCTTCCAGAAGAGGGGGAGACAGAACGGCTTCATCTGGAGTCCCAGCTGATGCTGTTTTTCTATATCCAAACAGAGAAGAGAAGATTTGTCTCTTGGGGTCTTCATAAACTTTCCCTCTTCTTTATGGTGGTTTGAAGGGGATCCAGGCATGCTCATTGTGACATTGCTTATTAAGACAGAGGAGGTCAAGGCTGACCCCGCCCCCAGGGCTCTGGGCCGGAGCTGGCCATCCCCTCCTATAGAAAGGTAGGACCCGAGGTCGCTGAGTGTGCTTATTCGTGACCTCGGAGAGGCGGCTGTCTTCCTTTGCCCAGAGGAACTGCCATCAACCATTTTTAAGAGACTGCAGACCGCATTTTTAGAATCTGCCTAATTCTCAGGAAGGTGAGTTCCAAATAGCGTCAGCTTCATTTGTAAAAAGCTCAAAATAGCCCCGAGGTGCCAGTCTGTGTGGATGTAGTATGGGCCTGGCAGCATTCTGCAGCGGCGGAGGCAGGTGGAGGGCCATTCCACGCCCCGCTGCGGATTCCAGGTGCAGCTCTCCTGTCCTAGACCCGCCCCGGTCCTGACGCGCGCACGCGCCCTGTGCCTGACGCAGGCGGGCCTCCCCCGGGAGGGGAGGCCAGGAATACTGGGCTTAACCTCTTCTCCCTTTCCTTTTCTGCCCTGGCAGTCATCGTAGTCTTGTTTGTGACCCTGAGGAGGCAAAAGAAAGAACCGCTCATCGTCTTTGAAGAGGAAGATGTCCGGGAGAACATCATTACCTACGACGATGAAGGGGGCGGGGAGGAAGACACGGAAGCCTTCGATATCGCCACCCTGCAGAACCCGGACGGCATCAATGGATTTATCCCCCGCAAAGACATCAAACCCGAGTATCAGTACATGCCGCGGCCCGGGCTGCGGCCAGCGCCCAACAGCGTGGACGTCGACGACTTCATCAACACGAGAATACAGGAGGCGGATAACGACCCCACCGCCCCTCCTTATGACTCCATCCAAATCTACGGCTACGAAGGCCGGGGCTCGGTGGCCGGGTCCCTGAGCTCCTTAGAGTCTGCCACCACAGATTCAGACTTGGACTACGACTACCTACAGAACTGGGGACCTCGTTTTAAGAAACTGGCAGACTTGTACGGTTCCAAAGACACTTTTGATGACGACTCTTAACAATAACGATACAAATTTGGCCTTAAGAACTGTGTCTGGCGTTCTGAAGAATCTAGAAGATATGTAAACAGGTATTTTTTTAAATCAAGGAAAGGCTCATTTCGAACAAGCAAAGTTTTACAGAGAGGATACATTTACTAAACCTGCAAGGACATCAAAGTGGTAAGTACTGGGAGGTACCTTTTCTCGCCGAAAGGCAAATATTGAAGTTTATCGGCTTCGCTGGAGGAAAACCACTTGGCATACAAAGTATTTAAGTGAAGGAAAAGTCTAATGGTGAACTTACAATGAAGGGAAATCGTTTCTGTGTTACGAACATCTAAGTCCTTCTTTCTTCTTCTTTTTTTAATTTGTCAAAGAAGCTTCCACAAAATTAGAAAGGACAACAGTTCCGAGCTGTAATTTCGCCTTAAACTATGGACACTCTATATGTAGTGCATTTTTAAACTTGAAATATATAATATCCAGCCAGCTTACACCCATGCGATGTATGTACAATACAATGTACAATTCTGTCTCTTGAGCATCGATCTTGTTACTGCTGATTCTTGTAAATCTTTTTGCTTCTCCTTTCATCTTAAACTAATACGTGCCAGATATAACTGTCTTGTTGCGGTGAGAGGCGCCCTATTTCTATGTCATTTTTAATGTATCTATTTGTACAATTTTAAAGTTCTTATTTTAGTATACATACAAATATCAGTATTCTGACATGTAAGAAATGTTACGGCATCACACTTATATTTTATGAACATTGTACTGTTGCTTTAATATGAGCTTCAATATAAGAAGCAACCTTTGAAATAAAAAAAAAGATTCTTTTTTAATTCTGGGCTTGGTTCTTAACATTGGAAAAATTAAGTGTTTCTTATGACCCATTTATATTTCTAATTCAAGATATTGTGGTCTTTTCATAGCCCTATTTATGAACTGTTACTAGTCTGCTGCTTTTATTGTTTATTTAAAATCCAGTCTGTTTTGCCAGTGTGTTTTCAGATAAGATTCTGTAACATTGTGTAAAGCTCTCTTGTACATTCTCAGTGTTGGCTTCCTGGCTCCTCTTCGCACACATCTGAGAAAGTGGGATGCTGAAGATCCAGCCCAGTCTATGAGTTCGCAGCACTTGTTATATGATACGCATTTATCTTGTCTATCAGTAATTCAGTGGTTATGAGAGATGAGTCTGTGAGGGAATGAAATCATCAGAACTCTCAAGTTCAAGATGTAGATTGTATGCCCCACACCGAGCATTTGGGGGTTGGGAGTCTGGAGAGGCAAAAATATAAATTGGCCATGGGTAGGTATCAGACCTCCAATGTTACTCTATTTTTCCTTACTTTCATCTTGCCAGGCGATCATAGTGACTCTGACAGTTAAAACTGCTTACTTTTTCTCCGGAATTTAACTTCTCTTAAAATAAGGCAGAGTTTTAAATTTGGATAAAAGAGCAATTCATTTCCACACCTTTGTTTTCCAATATGCTTTGGGCCCTAAGCCCAGAACGAGGGCAGGGACCATGGTGGATGCTGAGGGTCAATGCCATTTGATGCGTTTGATGTGTGAGAACGCCTGCAGTCTCCCGCAGTGCCCTCCAGCTGCCCGCGGATGGGGACTTTCTCGGAAAGGACATTTCCCCTGCTCAGTTGGGTCAAAGGTCAAAATGTAGCAATACTCGGGGAAAGACCACACCACGTCATGTAGCCAGTGCTTCCCCCAGACACAGGGCACACGCCTTCTATTGGATTGCAGACAATTTTTAGACTGATGTTTTTTCTTTATGGTGGAAATTTCTTTTAAGCATTTCCTGATATCTTGCTACATACTATTTTTATGACTGAGTCAAAATGCATACAAAGAAAAATGTTCCTGTGAAAGCGCTCACTTCCATTTTACTTTGCATTGAAATCAAATTGTCTGAACACGCCAGTGGGATAAATTCTGTGGACAGTGTCACTTCGGAATCTTTCATTTCAGTGAAGGATTGCACATTCTCAATGCTTCCGTAATTGCAGGTTTTGTTCATTTTTTATATAGTTTTTGTAATCCAAAGAATATTTTGCTAGATTTGCACAGCTCTCCAATTGAATTTGAAATGAAGAAATAACTCAAAAGGAGTATGATAGCACTTAAACAAGTATACAGCTATAAGTAACCCTGTCACCGTGGATGATCCTTTTTCTATAAATGTATTTGGATTAGATTTGACAAATATGTTTTCACATTTTTATGTTTAAATTTTTTTTTAAAAAGGCTGTCTACTTTCAATAGTCAAAAATACTTGTTTTTCTTTCTATCTTCTCTCTCTTTTTTATTTTAAGCCTCTATTGTTCATAGAACCCTCTTAGAAGCTTGGAAATAAAATGTCTTTTCTGACTAGTGGAGTCCTTTTTCATTTGGAACATATTGCCTTAAAAACGATCTCAGTTTAAGTGGTCCTTCCTCATTTCAATATAAAGTCATCACTGCTTTATGACAGCAATTCAACTTAAAGGAGCACTGCTCTGTTCTTGTCCTTGAGTAATGGTGATTGCTTGCATTCATCATTCATTCATTCATTCATTCATCCATCAAAATCTTATTTCACAGATCCTGTGCTAATTACTTAAGGATGCAGAATGAATCCTGCTACCTTCCTTGAGAGCTTTCAATTTTCTAAAACCTGTCCCAAAAGATCTATACTGTTGTCTTATAATCACCTATTTACCTCTACAGTTACCCGCCTCCCCGGACAATGTAATAACAGGTATTTCCTCTTTGGGATTGAAGGAACAAAAGAAAAGGTACAACAGGAGATGGAGAGACGTTGACTGTGAATGCAGGGCAGGCCAATTGCCGCAGTTCCTGGAGAGATCTTGCATTGAGCTAAATTATACCCCCTGGGCCATTACTACTGGGAATGGTGGGAAAGTAGGAGAGCAGCTTGTCCACATCCCTTGGAGAAACTTTTTAAAAATACACATGATGCCCAGAGAGCATCACTCTGGTTGTCAGGTGGAACCTGGTCAGGAGTGTTGGAAACTGCTCCTGGGTAATTGTGCAGCACCCTTCACATCTCTGAGAACCTCTGTAGGACAGTGAGGAACGAGCTGGGGTCTCTGAGCAGAAGAGTGGCCAAATCTACCTGGCAGGCAGTGTGGAGGACAGACCAGGAGCATGTGAACCTAGAGGCAATGCAGTGGGGGTCTAATGAAAGTGAAAATGCAATACAAGGGGAGATGAACAGAGTTCAGTGAGCTGACGATGGAAAAGAGGCCAGGCTTCTCTGTGCCTGCACTGCCGTCAGACCAAAGCAGCCTCGTAGTGGCTGCCGACCTCCCAACCTCTTCTCCCAGAGAAGCCGGGGGGACAGGGACACACAACTCAGATCCCGCGGCTCCACAACTGACACCCCACAGCTCTGCATAAATCCCAGTTCTCTTTCTTCATTGCTGTACCCAACCAGGGCCCTGTCAACCTCTCCAGAGTCATCTTACTTCAGTCTCCCCTCTGAGCCCTGTGCCCAAGGCACACGGCTGTCTGTTGGGTCCTCATACAGTCAGAACACACCCCCTTTTCCATCCAAAGTGGATCATCCTTTGTTGGTTTCTCCTGTTATCAGGCACAACTCTTTAAACTTACTTTGCTTTTTGACTTTTCCCGTGTCTGTGGGTCTGATGGCCTCACCAGAAGGTAAGCTTCAAGAAGCAGGGATCAGCTTTCTCCCACAATACCTCGCGCTCTTGCTTTCCCAAGGGGGGCCCAGCCGAATGGCTCCTGCAAACAAGGGTGGCGAGAAGAAGAAGGGCCGTTCTGCTGTCCACGAGGAAGTGACCAGAGACTAATGCACCATCGACATCCACGAGCTCCCCCAGGGAGTGGGTTTCAAGAAGCGTGCCCCTCGGGCACTCAGAGAGATCAGAAGTTTGCCGTGAAGGAGACGGGAATCCAGATGTTGGCACTGACACCAGGCTCAGCACAGCTGTCAGGGCCGAAGGAGTAAGGAATGTGCCTACCACATCCAGGTGCGGTTGCCCAGAAAAGGCAATGAGGACGAAGATTTACCAAACGAGCTCCAAACATTGGTCACCTATGTACCTGTCACCACTTTGAAAAATCTACAAACAGTTCATGTGGATGAGAACTAGCTGCTGATTGTCGAATGAAGTTATAAAATGGCCAAAAAAAGGCACAAGAGGCAGGGATCTTGTTGTACGCCCAGTTCTTTACATGGTGCCTGAAACCCAACAGGTGCACAGTCGAAGCTCCTAGAATGAATGATGGCAGGTTTATCAGGATATGATGACGGATCAGAGGGTTCCAGTGGGGTTTTTAGGCTTCCTTAGCTGAGATACTGAGTGCATGGTGATCTCGGTACCTGGGACTGTGAATTTGAACGGAGAAGTGGCTTTGGTGGAAGGAAGCTGAATGAAGTTTGGATCGGGTGTGTACAGTGGGGGCGCCTGAGTGACGAGTCGGAGCTGCCGGGCATCTCAGCAGAAACGGGTTTGCTGCTCGCTCACGGCAGAAGGGGGACTGGGCTTGTGGAGTAGGCGTCGTCAGACAGCGGTTGAAGTCTCAGGAGTGACTGTTTCTGCTTGGGTTCTGCTGCTCACCCCCAACCATAAGCGAGTGTTTCAGTGGAGAAGTAAGTGCCTCCGGGGTTGAAGACTAGCACTGAATTTAATTTTATTAATCAGGATAATTAGTAAGCATAAACCTTATCCTTGTATGTCAAATGCATTGAAAAATAAGGAGGGAATATAATTAATGCACTGATACTTTTCTTCAACTAGTGAGACTTCTTTGAGCTCCTACTGCGTAGGAGAGAACGTACTGTACACGAAACACTGACCTCATTCCTCTGACAAGAATGAGTGTGTGTTACGTTCCCCCTGTCACCCTGAAGGACACTGTGGACCAGTGAGGCTAAGCAGCCCTCAGAGGCATCCCCAGAATCCCGTCTCCCCAAACGTGGTCAAGGGCCCTATGCTTTAAACTTAGATGAAAGAGCCAACAGCAATATGTATCCTTCACAGTCAGTGATTTCACTGAGGTGCTGGCAGTAAGAACTTGGGATGGACGTTGCCCAGCCTCCATGGGTGCAGTTTATTTTTTGAGCAGCCGTTCACCACAGAGCCAGACGACGAGAGCTAATCACACATCTGAGTGCCCAGCCCGCCCTCCACGTCCAAGGGAACACACGGGACAGGACTGTGCCTGGTTTCTGCTGGGGTCTGCATCTTTCCACAGCACGCAAGTTGACAATCAAATACAAAAGAAACTGATGAGGCATTTTATAGCTCTTTGTATTATGTTTCATGGAGACAAAATTTGATGTTTCATTTTCTTTACAGGATTTAAATTGTGTTTTTAAAAACAAAATGTGGTCAATGGCGGCAGACTCTCGGGTCCCAATGGCTGGGGAGTCAGAACCGATTTTGCATCCTGCAGGCTCACTTACCTAGTCATTTTTTACGACAAGAGGCTGCCATCTTCTTAAAAGGGCCTTCTTCACTCCAGGTGTTGTTATACATTTTAAACATGATTCATACTTCTCTGTCACCTGAATCGGGTGACTGCCGTTACTTGGTCATCTCTCACAGGCTCACACACAAAACACTAGTCTAAGGTCCGTCCTGTGAGGAGCTCAAATCTGCAGCTCAAGAGTGAAAGCAATACATCCCATGTTGGGCATCACATTCAACACATCCCTGTGTATGAAGCCTGGCTCTGGTACTTAGTTGCTGCGTGACTTTGGACCAGTGCCTTGATCACTCTGAACTTCCTTTTCCACAAACGTTTAATGCAAATAACAGTTCCTATGCTGCTAGCAGTGGTAAGGAATAGATGAGCTCGTGTTTCTAGAGCCACTGACAGTTCCTAGGAAGGCGAACCACGTGACATAGGATAAAAATGATACTGTCCGTGCCTATATTCTGTTCCCAGCCCAGGATGCAGAACAAACGTAAGGGAAGAATTTACTACCTCCTGACTCCCTCTTCCTCTTCTAGTCTCATCAGTTCACCATCTCATTTCTCTCTCCTGAGCCAACAGAAGAAGACAGCACATGGTAGCTTAGTTTCAGGGAACTGCTGATGGCCAGTTTGCTACAACCAAAACATTTTTCTTTTTAAATAAAACTAATGATCAGATCAATGAATTCACTGACATGCACTATGATATGCAGAATAACAGTGGCAAGGCAACAGGTAACATAATTGAGTCAGCCACCTCAGGAAAACCCCAGTTTCATTTGTCTACCAACAGAAAGAGCTCTGTTCCACCCCATCAGTTCTGAGACACAGGCTGTATCCTCATTTGCATCTACTCCAGGCAATCAAAACTGCACAATTTAGATACCTCATTTACATAAAATGGACCTAATGGGGAGCCTGGACAGGGACTTCCACTAGAAAAGGCAGCTCCCCTTGGTCTCGATGGAACAAGAGTTCAGGTTGCTACCTGAGTCTGTGTCTCCTGGGCTGCAGCTCCTCTTGTTCAAATAAATGCTCTGTATTCTTTATTGCAGCCTGAAATTAATTTTGATTTACACTTTGTCAAGAACGGCACAGACGCTGACATTTCTAATATAAGGAATTTTAGATTTGATATATCTTTGCTCATTTGTTGAAACAATGGTGCTCCTTTTATAAACATAATTCTTTGAAAATATTTAGATTTGAAGACAGACATATAATTTCATTAGAATGCTTTTTAAATAACATTTCTGATGAGTGTAATTTAACCACATTTTTGCTTCATTTAGCACTCAGGAAATTGGAAATTATTTTATGCTATGATAATTTTCTTTCTTGTTTTTTTTTCAAGCACTAACTGGGATGTGAAAGAAATAGTAGTGCTTGGAAATATAATTTTCAAATTCCTCTCTCTTATGAATCAGCGAAGAGGTCCATGCGACGGTGCGGACCTCGCAGACCCGATCAGCCCTCCTGTGCAGCATGCACCTCTCCTTTCTCCTCTGTGGGATCCAACATGGAATCAGAGCAGAGGAAATATTCGGAGCAGGAATATAGGGATGATAGATAAAAGATAAATATATTCTTCATTTCATGTTCCATGTTGTAGAGTATTCCAAACTACCAGAGATGCATGGGAATGCCTCTGGCTTCCTTCCCTCGCTCCCCAGCCCCAGGCTGTGACGGTATCTTTATAATTCTCGGCATCGAGATTTGGTGGGACTGGACATTCCTCCCTGGATGTTCCCCTAATACACACTCAGATCCAACTGGACCCTGATGCACCAGGCAGACTGAAGTGTCATCAGATGATCTGACTTGCTAGCTCTGAACAGTCTGCTTAATTCCTGTGAGCGTCCTTTGCTTCATCAGTGCAGCGGCACATGCAACCTCCGTCTGGCACTCCCCCAAGAATTC